GAAGGAAAGTAAGTAGGTAGGGTTTAGTAGGAGTTAGGGTCGTTAGGTGGTTGGGTTTGGGTAGGGAGTGATGGTTGTAGAGAGAGAGAGAGAGAGAGAGGATGGGTGTAACAGGAATATCGCCACTCCAAGCCCTCCATCTTCAAATATTGTTATTACATCTCTTACCACTTGACAGAGCTTCAAATTCCTATAACCTCATTTTTAGTGACATTAGCTAATATTTTATAATCCAAAAAAAAAAAAACACTAAATTTTGTCACAAAATCAATTAAAAATATATATATAATGAGACCACTTATTTTGATACGAGGACATCACAATTATCATTGATTGTTAGATTTAAGATCGGGTGGTTAAGAACATGTCATTGTTTGAGCACAAAGTTTAAAATTAAATTTTTTGAATATTGTGATACTATTTTGGGGATTTTCGCCACAAAATCGCTTGGCTCCCGTTCTAGTTTGGCCTTGCGAGTCTCAAGTCAGAGTAGTGATTTTTTATGCAAACCTGGAATACAATTTAAAATTGTTGAAATATCTAACTGAGTTTAATATTTGACGATATAACCTAGTTGTGTCAAAGGGTAAAATGGTAGCAAATGAATTATGGAAAAATATTTTTAACACAAAGAAGTCATAATCACTATTGTCTTTCATATTTCAACTCAGGTAGAGGTTCATTTTTGCACTTTCGTTTAGAAAAAGTATTACAAAGACATTACTCAATTCTTGCCGTAAAATATCAATTTTGGCATAAAAAAACCTTGGAAATCAATTATCTCAACATCCGTGATTATGAGTGTGTAAGGCGAAATGAATTTCAAGCCCTACCATTGCTTTGGTCTGTTTCATTTATTCAAAAATCCATTATGAAACTTCAAATTCTATTCTCCACGACGAAAATAGAGTACATGCTATCACAAGGTTTTCAGTGTACATTTTGTAGTGGGATTTACAAATGCTGCTTCAACAAATTTTTTGTTTTATGAGAAACATTACCAAACAATATATAATTTATGATTTGTATTTACTTTATCGACTTAAATCCTACCAAAGTGACATTGTTTAGAGGGTTTCACGTCTATACATCATGAGCTCGAAATGATTAATTAGATGGTTTTTCCCGTATCATAACAATATCTCTACTGAGTTTTTGATGTGCACCTCACTTGCATAGGACAAGATTAACACCTTATATGAACTTTTTCTTTATTTAAAATTCACATTTATTTTATCCTCCTTCAGTAGTATAAACATTAAAATATGAGATTGTATACAATGGGACCATTTACTTTTGATATAAACAGGTCACAAGCTCTATGTACCACCTTATATACCACCATTTAATGTGAAATCTCAAGGTGTATTGCAAAGTTTGAGAAAATTACCTTTTAAGTTTGAGCTTAATCAATAGAATAAATACGACCATCTAATTCCATATCTAATGATCAAGATTAATTGTGACCCTTTACAATTATTATATACTTTTCAAGATTAGCTGCCATTTTTAGAAAGATCATGCCTTTTCCGGTCAGCAGCAAGTAACAAAGGATTAATTAGTCATTTTACGAAATGTTAAGATGCATACGAGTGAAGTTAGATACACAAAGTGAAATTGAAATAGACCAAGACTCATTTTTTCAATGAAAAAATGAAATTTGAGCTTTTTGGGGGCATGGATGCCCCTGATTGGGTTCTTGCAGAGATCATCACCATTGGAAAACTTGTAAGCTCATCTAAATACTTCAGTTGTAAAAAATTTCCTTTTTTCTCAATTAACTGTGTACAATTTTTGGTTCTTGATGAACTAGCACTCACATTTTTCCATCAATCAAATTGAGGTACCAATGTTTGTTTTTTCTTGATCCCATCTTATTCCTATCCATTTTTGGATTTTTTTTATTTTTTATGAACAGTTTACTAAGGTACTCTCTCTCTCTCTCTCTCTCTCTCTCTCTCTCTCTCTCTTTTTCGTCCCCCAAAACATTCACTGATCAATTTACACTGCTTTTGAGTTTGAATGAACGCGGTGTTCATAATTTTTAGGTTTTTTTTTGTAATATATAACTTGGGTTTGACAGTGGGGCACTCTGAATCTTTAATTGCCTGTCATGGCTATCGGTTCCTTATAACTGATTTCTGTTTTGAGTCTCTTACTTCTCTCTTGTTCTCTTTATGCAATTTATGTTTTTGGCCTGTTGTTTATTCTCTTGAGTTGCTATTTTATTTATTTTTTTATGGAAATGCGTTCTATTTCTTATGTTCTGCCACCCAAAACATGGGTGGGCATTCTATTCCTTAAATTCTGCCAGGAAGTGGTTGGAAGAATGTCACAGTGGAACCTTTGTTCTAACTTCTAACCGAAGTATTGTTTCTTTTTTAGTCACCAGAGCATGTGGAAGTCATAAGCTCACAGATCGCTCAACATATCCTTGATGGCTCTTTTGATGTAGGTTTTTTACCTAGTACATAATTCTGATATTTCGCTTTTTTTTTTCTTGATAAATTTGGCTTTGTATTGAGATATTCTATTTAAATTGTTATGGAACTGAGGAGTGCTTTTTGTGCAGAACAGTATACTACGATTGTGGACCTCACTTCAAACATTCTAGGTATGGTTTACTTTTTTCTTGGATTTAAGCTCATGTATTCTGATTGTTCCTGAATGTACATATGCTTCTCAGGATTTTTCCATAATTGTGCTTTGAATTTTACATGCAGATTTCTATTCGCGTGTGTATCTTTGTTTGCCTAAATGGGTAGTTTGGTTGATTCCTGTTTGATGCTCAATGTGATCATTTGCGCTTGTCTCCTTTGGCTTTTGGGGGATGAGACTAGGACACCTTGGATGTGAACATAAGTGCATGCATGCATTGATACCTTTATAAGCTCATATATTGGAAAGTCTAGCTTCAACCTCACCTTCACTGGTTAAACTTATAGTTATCATTTTCTGGCTCATGTAAGTTATTTTTAAATGGGCCGCCAGCGTAAAACTTAGCCACATCTTTTCATGAATCACCAACCCCAAATATTTGGGATAAGGCTCGGATGATGATATAGATGATGTAAGATGCTTTTAAATGGGTCAAACTCTTTTCTGTTCAGCTAACTTATGGACTAATGAACGATGTTTTCTGTATGTTCCCTCTAATCCACGACTCTATGTTACATGTGCTGAAAGTTTCTTCTTATAGTGTATTTATTAGAATGTTACTTTCTAAGATATTCAGAAAAATGCATTACTTATCTGTGAAATTATGGCTATTAGGAGGATTAGGCAACTGGCGAGCATAAGGGTTTTGGCCTTTGGTTGGTTGGCAGTTGTGGACAAGAACCTCATCTAGATTACAGGCGACTCCTATTGAAGGATATCTCTGCCTTTGGAACCCTATCAATTATTTTAAATCTTGGTAATAACAGAAATTAAATAATATTTGTTAGGTTTCTTCTGAATAAAGTAGTTAGTCATGTCTCTTTTGTCTAAACATCATGAGCACCTGAAACATCATGAGCACCTGATCAATTTGGTTGAACTTGATGAGATGAAGGAATGGGGCTTAAATGCCTTCAAATCATGGTTTGTTGTCTCCACCATCCAGCCTACTTAGATTCACTTCCTTTTCTCCACGGATTGAAGATTGTGATGTTAGACAAAGGAAAAAGTTAAGATTGTGCTACGTAAAATTCACCAATACTTACTTGATTGTTATCTCTCCTGTGCTCCTGTCTTTCTCTATTATACTCGTGATAATAGCATCTTTGTATCTGCATCCCTGAGGCTTTGAGCTCTTGGTTGACATCATATCCCTTGATAACCTTCGATACATGAAGACAATTTTTTTTAAAAATCTAATCCAGTTATTCAAAGCAAAAAGACATTTGATTCAGTCATTCTTTATAAACGTGATACATAGTGGAATTAATATTGAAAGAATTTGGAGCTTCACCTTCAAGTTTCCAAATGGTTTGTTTCATGAGATGATGATGTTAATTCAGGTGTAGCAGATTTAAAGGCTTGCATTGCTACTCTGCGTTTTTTTATCAGCAATCTCGCAAAGTTTGATCTCAATGTGGACCTTGCATCTCGAGAACTTCAGCAAATGGGACTTCCAAAAGGTAAATATGATAGGCGTTGATTATCTTAGACCTAGTGATATCAAATTTTGATGCTAATCTGTTCCTCGTTATATCAGTGATATTCTCTTGTAAGTTTATGAGTGGATCATACACCATGAACATTTAACTGCATTACTTTGTTTTCTGATTTTTAGTTATAATCTTCTGTGATTGTTTTCATGGGAGGCCAAACTGGCAGTGGATAAGGTTGCGAAGACTAGCGCAAGCTAGGGATTTGATGGGGTTCAGGGTTTTTTTATTACATGAATAATTGTTTTGTCTTATTTTCCTTCGTTGCTAGTTTAATGACTAGTCATTTATCTAAGGGGTGTTTCAGTTTCAAAATAGAACAGTAAATATCGTTGTGAGGTAAGCAGTGTAGCATCTAAAGGGAGGAAGGCCTATCAATTTTGAGGGTCTTGAAGATTCCCTAGCGGTTATGAACATTTTGCAATGTAGAATGTCTCCTAGTTATATTACTGATCCAAAAGAAAAGGAAAAAACAGAGATTAGGGAACTCCATAGGAACCCTCTTTCTTTTTCATATTGTGTAATGGAAATTCCGAACTCATGTTATTTAAAGGTGTTATTGCTTGCCAATTTTCTGTAGCATCCAATAACCTATGTGCTTACATCTGTTTTCCTTTCAGACTAATGTGATCTCTTGAGGCAATCTTCATATGCAAGGTTAAATAACAAATTAAAACAATTCGAACAAGGGAAAAGCAGATAAAGTAAATATTTGGACAATTTACCCATATAGTCAAATCCTCTTTTAATGGTGGCCTTTTGGCTCACAAGTGTGCCTATCCCTGGGAACCTAGTTACTTCCTATTGAAATCTTGTTGCCATTGTGCTCCAATCTTGCCGGTTTCCCCAAGGATTATTGTTCCCATTGTGACAAAAATTCCAGAGTATGCAACTCCGATTTACACCTCCAAATGCTTTCTTGGTTCCTTAATTTCATTTGGCATTCTGATTTTTATAAGTAGAAGTTGTTATTGATAGATGAGCTTCATTTAGTTTTTGAAACCTTATTGAACTCTTAAATATCGGCATACTGTTGATGTTTGACCTTATTCAGTGACCATGAAGTTTCACAGTTTTATCTGGAACACATGGAGCTAACTAATGTTTTTTCCTCTTTTCCTTATGATAGACTATTGTGAATCTATATGTCGACCTTATGTTGAAAGGAAGGAGTCATTGCAGAAGGAACTCTTAAATCAAGTTATCCAAAGTAAGTTTCTCTACTTCCTTAAAGTTTTTTATTTACAGCGATGTTATCTTTTCTGATAATTTCTTAAATCCTTGCGATTCCTGATGTTCTCCTCTCAGATGATAATTGTTGTTCTGGATAGCATCAAAATAATATATTGCTTATTTAGGTGTCATTTTGACTATATGCTATCTGGGTTTGTTATTTCTAAAGTCAATGACTTTCCTGCTTCTTTCTGTAGTAATATCCACTACTTAGGTTCCATTAGTGCGCATCAGATCATGGTATTACTAGTTCTTGCACTTCATCAAATAAGAACAACATCTCCAATTTCTTTTGAAGAGTTGTGGGCAATTCTGGTATTATGCCTATGTTACCTAGACATAAGCAACAAGTCATGGGGGTCCAAATCTGATGCATGTCTAACTGCCTAGTCCTTCAGCTTAAAAAGACAATACAACAAGACATGTCTATACAATAATTATTTTATAATAGAATAATATACTTTTAATGCATGTATAATAAATTGTCGATATTTATTATGCTTAGATGGGGTTAGCACAACCGTAGGCGCCACAAAAATCCCCATGTCTGAAAGTGTCGATATGTGATACTTCAGCAAGAATGACATATTTGGGTAACGTAGTATTGTGCGGCGTTGCCGACCCCACCTCCGCATATAAATTTTATATTGACTTATATATGTGAAAATCGGACATGTCTGAGCGCAAGTAATAAAACCCATGGATGATATCCGTTGTAGTGGAATATGAATCCACATCCTTTCTTAGGAGTTAGGAGTAAAATTAATATAGAGGAAAATTTTTGTAATCTCCCATTGTTTTTTTTTATCTTTTTAAGTTTTAAAAAGAATTATTTGTGATGAACCCAACTCGTTTTTTGATTACTTTTTCAGTCCCATCGGCTACTATTGATGCATGGAGAGTTCAAGTTGGACCAGAAAGCAGTGTAATTTTGATGTTGAATAGCAAGTCCAAAGGTCACTGGCCTGAGGCTTTTAATGGCCTTGTACAACTAACACCAGACAAATTCCGGCTTCTTTTGCATGGTGAGATTCATTAACCATGGATTTTTAGATTTTTATTATCATAACCATGAATTATGAAAGTCATACTTCTTTCATGCCTGGAATTTTGCTTAGCAAAAGGAAAAAGTGGGAAAATTTATAAAAGCACATCTAAGATTAACTATTTAGCATTTCATTCATTAATCAAAACACACCTAAAATAGCAGTTGATCTAACTCATGATTATGTGTTCTTTGATGGGGTTTCTGAAATTGAACCAAAATTAAATAGTTCATCTTTGGATGCTTTCTGATAAAACCACAATTAAAATATCAGTTATTTAACATTTCACTTATTCATCAATATGCATCTAGAATATCAATCATTCTAAATTACCATGACCTGTCCTTTAATTGGCTCTTTTAACTTAAAAAGGAATGGGTGTGAAGTTAAAATAGTTCATTTTTTGGATGATTTTTAACAGATCCCAAAAAGGAGATCCATGAACTATGAACATTTTTTATCCATATGGAAATTTGGTTATGTTTTTCTTAAGCTCATTAGGTGGTTGAAACTTGTTTTGACAGGCCTAAAGCAAGCAAGATCCTTAATGCAGGGGAATCCTTGATACTGTAAGTTGAGTGCGTATGATTGTTTTTTCCTGATGCAGGTTGGGGAGTTTAAAACTGAGTAAAAGGTTTGTGTAGGGTCGGCTTTCTAAAGCAGTAGCTCAAATCTTGCCGGAAAGGTCATTCCAATATTGGAAAACTCTAAAATGGATGATCTTGACTTTGAAATTATGGATCTAAAGAAATAGAGCTCAAGTCCTAAGAATAGTGTATGTGGCAACACACTATTTAGACTGCATTTTCAAAGATCCGCCATTTCTGGAGCTCTCTTTCATGGCAAGGAAAAACTAAAAATAGATTAAGGAATATCATAAGGGAAAAATGTTTGGTGCCACCAAGCCCGCACTTGTTACTATGTGGGCTCGGAGATCTACACCATCCACCAAAACCGGTCCCCTCCCCCTCCTAAATAATAGTCCTCCAAAAAAAAAAGCAAATCAACAGTCCAAATATTTTTTCCAAAAAATATCATTTCTAGTTTTTAAAATTCATTTATTTTTATAGATTAATAATCTCCATATTAAATATTATATATTCCCTAAAAACTAGGATCAAATTATTATTTCAAAAATAAAGTATTAAATGGCGCGCATTTCTACATGTTAGTCTGTGGACTCAAACCTTGTCCTATCCTAAAAGAGGGTAATTTAGTTGTAGGGTTAGTATTTTGTCCATATGAGACAGCTTTATCTTGCCATATTTACATCCATCATATAGATGTCTCTTGACTCGTAACAAACTCTCCTCTCTCTCTCTCTCTCTCCACACCATTTTTGGAGGACATCCTCTCCTATTAAACCAGGCTCTATTTCTTCATCCACCACACTCTCATTCTCCTTTTGGCCAACCCCTCAAAACAATTGGCATGATTCTCTCTCTTGATCGAAACGGCGCCTATGAAGAAATTTTTTCGATCGTAAATGAAGAAGTTTTTGTCTCTCTCCACTCATTGAAATAGGGAGCAAAATGGGCAAGGAGGTGAACAACAATGCAATGGTGTTGATGGGTTTGGTGGTGTTGATGTTAATGGGCAAGGCCATGGCATATGTGTGCATGGTGACATGTTACGCTGAATGCAGGGCTCATAACCTCTCCATCCTTGGGTGCATTGGAGATTGTTCAGGCTTGTGTTCAGATGGTGCATGGCAGCCTATTGACCCATGGAATAAAAGCTGTATTGTGTAGAACAACCTTACCCATTTCTGTTTCTCTCTCTCTCCATGGAATGCAAACTTTATTGTGTAGCAGAACCTTACCCAATTTTGATTGAATCTCTCTCTCTCCATGGGTACTGTGTTAGAAGAACCTTACCCAATTTTGAATCTCTCTCTCTCTCTCTCTCTCTCAGTTTGTCTCTTCTCTTGTATATCCTTTGACCCCTCTCTCTCTAGCTTTGGTTCCCTTTAATCTTCTCTCTCTTTTTTCTTTGAAAGGAACCCTTAATCTTCTCTCTCTTGTATATCCTTTTGGACCCCTCTTCCTGTTCTCCTTCAAATCAATGAGGGGGCAGTCTCATTTGACATATCTATAACTTGTGGAACTTGGTTTGCTTGGCAGGCTTCTAACTTCAAAAGCCTCTTTGTTTTTAGGGCATACATCAGAATGTCTAATTTCACTGATTATTATCCAAATATAAACATAATTGAGTTTCATTTTATTTATTTTACCAGAAGGAGACGCGAGGGAGCACATAATCTTTTGAGTTCATTGTTTCCATTAAAGGATCTAATTTAACGAAGGAATTTATGAAAAGAAAAATCTAAAAAATCAAATATATATAATATTTTTTTATTGGGTTCAAGAGATTTTATTCTAGAATTCACTAATGTAAAAGAAATAGATAAAAAAAATAGAAAATATCCTATTATCTTCTATTTTTAACTTTTATATCTCATCACACCCAAGAATTAAAAATGTTACTTGTAAGTAAAAAAATTATATCTTTTCTATCTTCCAACCCCCTAAACTCTTTTGACCATGTATTATTGACCTCAACAACTTATGAAATGGCTCTATATCTCTTTTTAAAACTTTTCTCTCTTTAAAACCCAAACTCCTCTCACCTCTCTCACATATAAGAAGGTGTGCTCGTGTTCGAGCTCCCGCTAAACTCCTTGATTGGTAAACTCACCGAGAAGCGAAGAGAGAAATGGAGTCTTAGAGAGAGAGATGTAGTTTGAATAGGGTGTCATTTTAGTATTTGTTTGGGTTAAAATTTATGATCAAAGGGGTCGAGGGGATTATAAGATATAAAAGATTGAGACTTTTTGCTTATAAGTAATATTTTCATTTTTTGGGTCTCATGAGATATGGAAGTTAAAAATATGAGATAAGGAGATATTTCCTCTAAAGAAAATCTAAATTTATTAAAGCCAAAAGTTATTATACACCTACAGGACTGTGCTATCATTTAGTCCCGTGGGTAAGAACCGGTCTGGGATCAATTTTAAGACCCAAAAATTTAGGGATATAACCTTCTCAACCCATAGATTTACTTTAATAAAAAGAATTTCCTAATTGCACCCTTTATGCACTTAGAAAAAAACAATGTCACAAGATTCAATAGAGACTATCTAATTTTATGAGGGTGAGAACTATGAATTAGAAAACTCAATTGAAACTTTTTCTTTAAAAAATAATGTGATTCTTGGGGAGTTCCAAAAATTGCAGGTTGGAAAAATTGTTCCATGTAGATCTTAGGACCAAGGGAATAGATGCACTCTATGCTCTGGCAGGAGTATAGTATAGGCACTCTTTACCAAAAATTGGATGAGAGATGCACTCTATGCTCTGGCAGGAGTATGGTATAGGTCCTCTACCAAAATTTGGATGAAAGACATGTTGAGAAAGCTGGAGAGAATCCATCCTGCGGGAGCACAATATTTGAGCATCTACCCACTTTTAGACACACTTTCAAAAGTGTAGGCCCCCTCAAAAACGTAGGGCATGTTCTCATGGAAAAATCAAGGGAAGGGATTTCAAAGCTTTAAAGTCTTTTGGGTCGTAGTTCAATCTAAAATAAATCAGAATTAGCCTTCTAGATAATTACTGCAACCCAAAAATTTTTTGGTCAAATTATTTCGAAACCCAGGTTATCAAATTAATTGTTTCATAGAAAGCCTTCCAAATTAAAAAAAATAAATAAACATAAGCATATTAAAAAGTACATAAACTACTTAAATTGGAAAAAGTTTACATAGGGATGCAACCTTATAATGTAGAACTATAGATACATCTCAAAAATCCATCGGAAATGGTAGTTTTAA